CCCCCTCCGCGCGCCTGCGGTGCGCCCGGGCGCTCGTGTCGTTCAGGTAGAGGACCAGAGAGGGCGGCGCGCGCAGAGGGGCGCCCCGCAGCCCGGCCCGCGGCTGTCCCAGGCAGGTGAAGTTGACCGACAGGCGAACGCTTCTCTGGCTGGAAGCCACCAGCGGCTGCAGCAGGGAGGTCACGTCCAGCTCGACCCACCTGTAGTTCTTTCCGAGCTCGATCTGGGAGCGGAAGGCCAGCGGGCCGGGCGACTCCGGGCCCGCCACGGCCAGGCTGCAGGCGCATCTCACGGCGGAGGAGGCCGGCGCGGCGGCGGCGCTGCTGAAGGCGTAGAGCAGGACGGACCTGAGCAGGTGTTCAGCGGCTGCCACGCGACCCAGGCTGAAGAGCAGCTCGGCCGAGGGGAAGGCTCCTGCGGGGAGAGAGGCGGTCAGGGCGCCGCGCAGCCCGGCCAGGCCCGGAGGGGCGCATCTCAGCACCACACAAAGGAGCAGGATCCCTTTCTCCTTGTCTCCTCAAGCCTCAAAAACCAGGAGGACAGGAGTATAATGCACAGAGAGAAAGTAATGGGCGTTTCTCTAAATTTACAACAACCAGGCCAGGATACTCTCTAGAAAAGTCACAGCAGCTTTTCTGTGCTGGGGAGGTAAAGCCAGTGGGTCAAGACTAAACGACTCACTCCTAGTAGGAAGCCAATAAGAAGCACGGTTTTTGATTAACCTATATAAAGAAAAATCCTCCGAGTTATTTATTTTATGTATTTGGTACAGGGTCTCACTACACAGCTCAGACTTACAGTGATACTGCTGTTTTCAGCCTCCCCAGCGCTGGGATTACAGGTGTGCACTGCCATACCCAGTCTTGGTGGCCAACTGAGTGTGCCCAGGGGGCGGGGCTGGCAAGGCATGTGGCGCTGGGTCTGCTGAGCTATCTCCCTGGCCCAGCTGAGTAATTTAAAACACTTGCTGGGCATGGTGGTGCACGCCTGTGATCCCAGCCTGGAGGCTGGGGCAGGAGGATTATTGTGAGTTTGAGGCCAGCCTGAATTACAGAGCAAGACTCTGTCTCAAAACAAAGCAAAATACAAAAAACCACTCACCACTCTTAAGACATTCTCTGCCCCAGAGAGTAGGACATTAAAAACATTTGACCTCGCACGTTCATTTGGAACACTTGGGACTGACAGCCAAGCGAGGTTTTGCCACCGCTGCATCCAGCAGCAGGTAGAGGGAGGGCGAGGTGCTTTAGTGCTTTTGCAGGTGTCACTGTCCTGTCCTGTGAGGGTGGCTGACGTGAGCGAGTGAGCACAGCTTCTTAAAGCATCACTCCTCTCTTGCACATGAGGGCCCACACTGCCCTCCTTACGGGCTAACGGGCTTGGGACGGGGGTGCTGGGACAGAAGCCAGGGCCTCCAGCACGCTAGGTGCAAACCCTACCACTGAGCTGCGCACACTTTCTTGTAAGAGCGGCCGCACCAAGCGGCAGTTGAGCTTGCCTCTCACCCAAGGCAGCGCCCAGGAGGAAGCACCCCGTGTGACGCAGCATACCTCAGGAGGCCATGAGAGATGTTGTAGGCACATGTTCAACAGCGAGGTAGCACAGAAGTAGATGCTAGCCTTCGCCAGCACTTTCCTTAGCCTTCAGAGACGGGAAGTCCCTTTCAGGTCTAAAATTTCAGTAAATTAGCCCAATAGAACAATCAGATCAAGTACGTTTGTTTCAATCAGTACTGTGCAAAGCAAAATGCAATTCAAGAAGCAAAGCTGCCAGGTGTGGTGGTGCACACCTGTAATCCCAGCACTCCAGAGGCTGAGGCAGGAGGATCGCTGTGAGTTCAAGGCCAGGCTGAACTACATAGCAAAATCCTGTTTCAAAATAAAACAGCCGGGGAGATGGCTCAGTAGAATAAGTGCTTCCCTGGCAAGTGCAAGGGCCTGAGCTTAATCCCCAATTCCATCAAAATAAAATAAAGTCACCCCTCCCCCCAACAAAACCCCAGAAAAGAAAACCAGGAAGCAAAGCCCAACTCTCTTCTGTAACTAGAAGGCAGACACTTGCTTCCCATGTCCAGCCCGCTAAGCCAGTGGCTCCCACACACCTGTCACCTGGCCTCCAGAAGTGTACTTCTTTGGGGAGTGAGGGGTGAAGAGTCGAATAGTGTTGTACGGATGACTTCCGGTGGGCTTAGGGATCCCCTCCTTGGTGGCATATGTCTTATAGAGCTTCTTCATGTAGTGCAGGGCTCTGGAGTCTGGCTGCAGCCCAGGGGCCCGGCCTTGCCGGCCAGACAAAACCTTAAAGAGGGGCAGAAGGAGGCCGGAGCTGTGATCTCCATCCACTGGCTGCAGCACGGACCAGGGCGCTGCTTCAGGCTCCAGCTTGACACTTGCTGCAGTCTGAGCTTCTCCCCTAGATGCCCAAGAACCTGGATTAATAGAACTCAGCCAGGCAAAGCAACAAAGCCCCAGGAGGAAGCTGCGGGGAAGCGCCATGGCGAGGGAGAGCGGGCAAGGACCACATCGCCCACGCCCACTCTCCCTAAAGGCCGGGGAGGCCTGCGTGAGAGGCCTTCAACAGCTTTTAGGTGTGAGCGCGGCCGGGCATGGCTCCTGTAATCAGACCTCAAGGGTACCTAGCTGAAAATACTTTTTATCAGGGTTATTTCAATCAGCTGATAACATCCTAGCTCTCCAATTTGTCCTCATTAGATGCAGATTTATTTAGCTTTCCTTTTCCTTTCTCTGTCCTATACTTAAAACTGAGTAAGTTACTGTTACATTAATGGACTGTGTAGCTGAAAGTCTAAGGAAAAACTAAGGGATTATCTTTAAGCCTTTGTCTTTTTTCGAGAAATTAGGCTTTTTTTGGGGGGGGGTATAGGGGATTGAACTCAAGACTATGCGCTTGCCAGGCAGGTGCTCATGCCACTGAGCTGTCTTCCCTAGTGAGAAATTAGGATTCTGTTTTGTTTTGTTTCTGAGACAGGTTCTCATTATGAAGTTCGGGCTGGCCTTGAACTCACTACATAGCCCAGGCTGGCTTTAAATGCTGACCACTCCTGCTTCAGCCTCCCAAGTGCTGTATCACAGGCTTGTGCCACTACGCCCAGTGAAAATTAGGACTTTTAAAATGTCCCCTAGGTGCTTTCTGAACCTCCCAAGGCATGTGGAAAGCATAAGAATTCCGATTTGTTGGTGTACAATTTAGGGTGGTAGATTTCCTCCTCAGCCAGGTAGGCTCTGCAGCTCCCAGGTGGTTGCAATAATTATTTGCTGTGCATTGATTGGGAGTGAGAAAAAGTCACAGTCGACATTGAAGGTCCAGTGAGCAGAGAATCTTCTGATTCCTGGGTCCCCAGGAGGCTTGGCATAGGGCATGCCCTGGCATTTTGCAACTGTACTTTGCACAATTTTGTTTTTGTCCTAAGACAGGGTCTTGCAATGCAGCTCAGGCTGGTTTTGAGCTCACTTTGTAGCCCAAGGTGGCCTTGAGCTTGCAGTGATCCTCCTGCCTCAGCCTCTCGAGTGCTGGAATTACAGGTGTGTGCCACCATGTCCAGATACATAAAATATTTTATTTTTATTCGGTACAAGGTCTCACTATGCAGCTCAGACTCATAGAGATCCTCCTGTCTTGGCTTCTCCAGCAATGGGGTTACAGGCATGTGCCACCACCCCTGGTTTCAGTGGCTGGCTCAGCACAGCGTGCAGTACTGGGGATCAATCCCTGGTCCTTGAGCTTGCCAGGCAGGATCTTAGACTGCTGAGCTATCTCTCTGGTCTACAAAATATTTTAAAAGAAGACACTGAGTTGGGTAGGGTGTCATATACCTGGAATCCTAGTATTGGGGAAGCTGAGGCAAAAGGCTGGTAGACTGGCCCACACAGTGAATTCAAGGATGGCTCGCAAGACACTGAGATGCGGTGTCAAAAGAAAAATTAAAAAAGAGGTGAGCTGGGGCTGTCGCTCAGTGGTACAGCAGCCTGACATGCCCAAGGCCCTGGGTTCTCTAGTGCAGTAGGGTGAAGAAAAAGAGGAAGGGCGCTGGGGGACACTGCCCGTAACTAATTTTATATCTTGTTGTTCTTGTGTGTTTCTGAAAGAGCACATTTTGGGGGGAAGCAGAGAAAAACAAACAAAAAACACCACAGGGGCCAGGGAGATGGCTGAGTAGAATAAGCACTTGCCTGGTAAGCGCAAGGGCCTGAGTTCAATCCCCAGTTTGGGGGGGGGGGGGACAACAGAGAGCAAGCAGCATAGTGCTCACAGACAAAGGTCGTCTGGTAGGCACGCTGTATGTCATACTGGAAGAGACATGCCCTATTACGGATAAAAATCAAGTGTCTCCCTCAGGGTACCTTCCCAAACCCTATCCTTCCTAGAGGTTGAGAAAAGGCCCAACCGCTTGCCTGAAGGCAGCTGTGGTGTATTAGAGATACAGCCCCGGGGGGCGGGGGCTTCCTCTTTCTTCTTTTTTAAAAATATTTTTTGGTACCAGGAATTGAACTCAGGGCCTCATGGTTTCTAGGCAGACGCTGCACTGCTGAGCTACATCCCTGGCCCCTTCCTGTTTCTTATAAAGAACCTTTTCTTTTCTTTTTAAATTATTTGTGTGTGTGTGTGTGTGTGTGTGTGTGTGTGGCCAGCTCAGCCCACCAGGGGGCGGGGCTGGCTGGCATGTGGTGCTGGGGGATTGAACCACGGTCCCTGTGCTTTGCTAAGCTTGTTCTATATAGGTGCTTTAGACCACTGAGCCATTCGCCAGCCCAAGAACCTTTTCTTTAGACTTCTCATAGTTTTCATTTTTTACTTTCACTCTAAGTTCTCCGCACAGTCAGACCAGCTTCTGTACAGACTCCCTTGCTATCCGCACCATAGATCCTCCTTTGCCAAGATCAGGTTGTCCAGGATTACATCATCGGCCAGCGTCATCCTGCTGGTGTGAATCTGCAAGATGCCCTGCTGGTCTTTTCTTCCAATGTGGGGAATCTCAATTTTCTTGTTTATGTGCCCTGGTCAGATCAGTGCTGGGTTCAAAGCTTCTATTCGGTTTGTGCCCATGATAACTTTCACGTCTCCCCGTGAGTCAAATCTGTCCAACTGGTGCAACAGTTCCAACATAATTTGCTGAATTTCTCTCTCACCTCCAGGGTTTGAATCTTATCTTTTGATCCCAGGGGCATCGATTTAATCAATAAACATGATGGATGGTGCATGTTCTTCAGCAACTTGAAATAATTCCCATACAAGTTTGGGCCCATCACCCAGGTACTTCTGAGTAACTTCAGAGCCAACCACACTCAAGAAAGTGGCTGAAGTTTGGTGTGCTACTGCTTTAGCTAACAAGGTTTTTGCTGTGCTAGGTGGACCATAGAGAATGACCCCGTTAGGGGGCTTTATACCCGTCTCTTCATAGTATTCAGGATGGGTGAGAGGAAGCGTCACAGACTCCTTAATTTCCTGGATTTGGTGTCCAACCCACCAGTGTCAGCATAGGTTTCCTGGGGAGCCACACCTTCATCACTGTGACCACAGGCTCTGTGTCATCTATCAGCACCCCCATTACAGCATGCACCTTGTGGTTGAGTAGGACTGAGCAGCCTGGTTCCAGAAGACCCTTGTCCACAAATGAAAGGATGCTGATGTAGTGTTCTGAGCCCACAGATATAGACACGATGGCTTGTCATCAATGATCTCTTCCAAGGTTCCTACTGGCATGGGGGTCCCCCTCAGATCATCTACCTTTGACCTTTCCTCCTCTCTTCTTTTAATGGTTTCATTTGTTTCTGATTTCTAATAAATTCTTCCTCCATAAGGAAAGCCTTTGATTCCAACTTGAGTAGTTTAAAACAGCACTGAGTGTGAGGTGTCACCAGTGGCAGTTTGCTGGCAGTATCTGGTCTTTTTTTTTTTTTGTACAGGGAATTGAACTCAGGACCTTGAGCTTGCCAGGAGGCACTTAAGCAGCTGAGCTATCTCCCCAGCTGTTTTCTTCTTCTATTTCCCCATTCTAGTTGGTACAAGAGGTTTATATTTCTTTTTCTTTTCTTTTTTTTTTTTTGGCGGAACCGGGGATTGAACTCAGGCCCCTGCGCTTGCCAGGGAAGCGCTTATTCCACTGAGCCATGTCCCTGGCCCCATATTTCCTTTTCTTGTCCCTGCCAGCCTTACCTCCTGCAGGACCATGACCACCTCTCTGCCTTTGACCCATCTTACCTGTGCTGCTCTAGGCAATGCTGCCCTGCTCTTAATTTCCTAGGGCCGGCCAGATAGCTCAGCAGACTAAAGCGCCTACTTAGGCAGGGTGCAGGGTCAGCGGTTCAATCCCTGGCACCAAAGGCCGTGCTGGCCAAGACTGGGCACTGTGGCGCACACCTATAATCCCAGTGCTTGGGAGGCTGAAAACAAAAGGATCCCTATGAGTCTGATCTGTGTAGTGAGACCCTGTACTAAATACATTTTTTTTTTTTTAATCATCTTGATGTCTTCACTTTGGTTAGCACATTTACCGACACATGCTTTGGTTGAAAGATTTTGGGATGTTTACAGGGGCTATGAAATGCTTTATTTGCACGAATGACCCAGACGAGGACAAAGTTCACTAAAATACCTTTGTCCTTAACTGAGACCATGCTAGATACATTTTAGAAAAATGAGGCAAAAGGCACCACGAAAAGGCAAAGGAGCGCCGTCCGTCCGTTAGGAGACAATCCGCTGGAAGAGTCAACCTGCACTCACACGGGAGAAACCTAGCTGTACAGTACTTCAGCAGAAAAAGTCAGGTGTGCTTTCAAAACTCAAATTCCCTGTCTGCCCAGCCTGGCCGGTCTGTGGCTCCAAGCAGGGTGAGAGAACACTCCGGACTGCTGAGGGAGAGGCGAGGTCAACGACCGTGGCCAGCGATCCAGCCTCGCTGAGACCGCGCGCTGCCAGGGCAGGCAGCCGCCCAGGTCGAGCGTCAAGCCGCAGCCGGTACTTCAGCGAGATCACAACCCCGCCTCCCGCGCCCCGGGCAGGGGCAGGGGCAGCGGGTAGCTTCGAGGCTCCGTAGCACACCCGCCGCAGGCCCGATGCCCCGGGAAACAGCTGCGGCCAGCGCCGCGTGCCCACTGCCCGGCATTCTTCGTCGATGTCTTTTGTGGCTGAGCTTGCAATGCCTGCTCTACCTTGAAGGCACAGGTTACCAGGAGAAAAGCTAGGTCCCGGGCCCTGATGCTGTTCCTGCTCGCTCGCTGCCCGGAAGGAGCCCAGCCCCTCGGAACTCCCGGACGACAACGCTTAACGCCCCGCCGGCCCCGAGCGGCTGACCCCTTTCTCTTCCCGTCTTCGGCGCCCCGCCCCTCCCAGCCTGAGGCTTCTGGGATTGGACCGAGTCGGGGAACAGCCACGCGAGGGCCAGGGGCTCTCAGCCACCGCCGAGGGCTTTGCTAGGCAACCCCCAGGCCCCGTCCATCCCAGTCACCAGCCAGCGCACTGATCTTTAGATGTGGGAGATTACGTCGTTCCCGGAGCCAACAGAAAAGTGGTACCACCCGGAAGTGACGTCTCGCCTCGGGAAGCAGCTTCCTGTCCCATCGGAAGTGACGTAAGAGGTAGTGGCGCGGTATCGGTGGAGGGCGAGGTGACCTCGGTGCGCGAATGGGTCGCGAGAGGATGGGGGCGCGCATGGGCTGGGGGAGCATGAGGAGGGGGCGGGCGTTTGGCTGGGAGTCCGGCGCGGGCTGTGGCGCGGCCCGAGGCTGAACCGAGCGCCCCAACCATTGATACTGCAGGGCCGCCGTGACCATGGGCCGCGAGTTTGGGAATCTGTCGCGGATGCGGCATGTGATCACCTACAGCTTGTCGCCCTTTGAGCAGCGCGCCTTCCCGAACTACTTCAGCAAGGGCATCCCCAACGTGCTGCGCCGCACTCAGGGGTGCATTCTGCGCGTGGTGCCGCGTGAGTGTCTGGGCGGGTGGCGGGGACCAGGCGCTCTCTCCAGGTGGGGGCAGGCGTCCTGCGGGCGCTCCGACACTTCCTTCGTGACTATCGCTGACAGCTCTAGAGCAAGTCATATGACGCCCAACGATTGGACTAAGGTCGCTTGGGTGACTCCAACGTTTCACTGTGAGGTTATCTTTATCCACTTATCAGTGACAAACTGCCTTGTGTTAGATGTACTGCAGATAGTGCTTGCCAGTTGCATGACAGCTTGAACATATCAACCACTGCAGTATACGCTGTTGTAGTTCAGGCTGGCCTTGGACTCACTATATAGCCCAGGCTGGCCTCGAACTTGTGGCTGCAGCCTCAGTCTTTCCAGTGCTGAAATTACAGGCGTGCACCAGCACGCCTGGTAAAGTATACATCTGTAGTGCAGGCTGGCATTGAACACATAGCAATCTTCCTGCCTCAGCCAAGTCAGTGCTGGGAGTACAGGTATGCACAACCACACCAGGCCAAATTTATCTTGGTGAACTTTTTGGTGTGGTTTCTTGTTAAGTGGGTTCGTAAGGTAACCTTTCTTGCTGCTGTGATGTAAAAGTACTGTATCTGAAAAGCTAGAGTAGAAGGACAGAAAAGGGAACTGAAAACTGTCTCATTTATGCTCTCTGACTTTTGCCTTTTAAAGCATTTGTAGTGGCTTACCTTATCTACACATGGGGGACTCAAGAGTTTGAGAAATCCAAGAGGAAGAACCCAGCTACCTATGAGAATGACAAATGAGCATCCCCTCTGTGACAGTTCCTGCTTCTGAAAGACGCTTCTGTGGGAAAGGAGGATGTATTGTTTCTTGAAGACAATAAAATTCTTATGGACTGCACGTTGCAACTTTGCATTTTTGTGAGCAGAATGCTGGTGTGACTGCTAATATTTAAGTGCATGCAGCCTCCGCTCCTGGGCATGAGTCCTGAACAGTTTTGCCTAATGTGTACTTTGGATGAAGGAGTGGGCTTACTCCTTGCTGCACACTGATGAGAAAGTAGGGTACAAAGTTAACAGGTACTGCTGCTAAGCAGTTTGGGCGCTGCGGCTTGTGAGGGGAGTGTTGGTCTTCTGCTCCTATTATAACCACAACGCCTAGAACTATGTGGTAATTACTATGTCAGGTAGGTTCTAAGCTGTAGAAACAAAGTTTTAAGCTTGATGACCTTTAGGTAACATTATTTGTGCTTTGCAGTTGAGGAAACAGGTTAAGTAATGTGCTTTACATTGTAAGGCAATGAAAGGGTACCAGGAATTGAACTTGGGACCTTGCACTCACCAGGCAGGCGCTTGTGCCACTGAGCTATATCCCCAGCCCCCGAGGTTTTTTGGTTTTTTTTTTTGTTTTGTTTTGTTTTTTAAATGTATTTGGTACAGGATCTTACTAGTGCTTAGTCTATTGAGCTGTCTTGCCCGATCAGTGTGTCCTTAAAACTTAAGCTGCCTTTCCTTCAAAACAACCTCTCCTTAGCCTGCGAAGTCAGCTATGAAAGGAGGGCATGAGGTGCCTCCTTTACCCGGGCTCAACACACTATGGCTGTGGACCATTCAGCCAAAATACGGTACCTTGGAAAAGTCTGCCCCTGCTCCAGCTCCAGAGCGTTTGAATTACCTGTTTAGTCAAGAAGTCACCTTTGCTAGATAGGAAGGGTAAGTTGTCATTGGATATGGTTGGCAGGTTTGCAATTGAACTTGGGCCCTTGCGCTTGCCAGGGAAGCGCTTATTCCACTGAGTCATCTCTCTGGCCCCAGGTGTGTGTTTTAGGCTCGGGAGATGGCTCAGTAGAGTAAGTGTTTGCCTGGCCTGTGTAAGGGCCTCAGTTCAATCCCTGGTTCCGGCAAAAAAAAAAAAAGTCCAAGGATATTTCTGCTACTTATTCTGAGCTTCTGGCTCAGGCTGTCTTTACTTTTTCTAATTATTCCTGTTGCTTCTTTAAAGAACCAAAATAATTGCAGAAAAAAACAAACCCTCACAAGATAAAAATGCACTGACTGCCAATCCTGGACTCAAATTTTTTTTTTTCTTCTGTATTTTAGGGAAGGGTCTTTTTTTTATTTGTGTGTGTGTGTGTGTCCAGCTCAGCCCACCGGGGGGGCGGGGCTGGCTGGCATGTGGTGCTGGGGGATTGAACCGTGGTTCCTGTGCCTTGCTTAGCTTGTTCTAAGTAGGTGCTTTAGACCACTGAGCCATCTCACCAGCCCCTAGGGAAGGGTCTTAAGGATGTTCAGGGTCTCACTACTAGACTGGACTCTCCTGTTTACAGCCTCCCAAGAGCTGGGATTCTGGGCACATAGCACCACGCCCAGTGTGCCCCAGGAGTACAGCAGGCCCAGGGACTAAATCCCTGGCCTCTGCACCTGCTTGCAGACGCTTTAATCCGCTGAGCTATCTGGCCAGCCCTCCAAATCTTTATAAATTGTCACTTCTTTACTCTGATACAGGCAAGCAGCCTACATTATTAAGCCTTGAAATCCTCATCTATACAATAAAAATACTAAAGTCCTTAGGTTGTGATGGAGAAGTGATGTGTGTCTGGTAAGGTGATACAGGATTAACAGGGCAGATATATCTTAGGGCATCTTGGGCCCCAGATGGTCATTTTCCTATCAGCTCTTTGTCCAGATTTATTCTTGGGTTTTGTCGCCAGATGCTTCAACATGTTTGGGAGTCTGGTGACAGTTCTGGATCCAAAGGCAGTACGAATACACCTAACCTCCTCTTTCATTACTGAGGTAGCTTCCCAGGCCAGGGGAAGACCACAGCTGGGCAGGTGGTTAGGGTCTGCCTCTAATTCTGCCCCCAAACTTCCTAGAGGACATAGCCACTCTCATCTGTGTCCTGGTTGTTGTATTCTACCTCTGTAGTTGACACCTTTGACTTCCAGGTGAAAAGAACCAAACTTACCAGATACTGAACCTGTTGGTCTGAGTCCATTTTCAACCCAGGAGTGCCCTACTGAGGCAATCCTGATTGGTGTAAGCCCTTTGATGTACTACGTTTCTGGCAATGGCTGAAACAAAGTCTGCTGTAGGTCTCTCTTGATAAGGGGCTTCTGAGCGTGGAACCATGGATCTCATCTCTACAGCAGAGGTGCTGGGGCAGTGGTTATGTAGAATGTGTTGTAGCTTGGAGCCCCTGTACATCCTATGAGTCCTGGGATAATTTTGTGGGGCCATTCTATTTATCGAAATTGGCAGAGAACCTGAGTAAAGCTTTTAAAGGGTGGACAGCTGCTGTGGGCCTCAGTGCCAGCCATCCTTCCACCTGGAGCTCCCAGCCCTAGGTGTGACTTTTTCTTCACTGGCTGTGGTGCAACCACCTGTTCCATTAATCCTTCTTTCCAATACTTCTACCCTCATGAGTTTTTTTATGGGCTATAGTCTCCCCATGTAGTGCCCAATGTATAGACCCAGAAGTCTGCAGCACCAGCCAGCCAAAAAGTAAATACACTTTGTTTTGCTGTTTGTTTTTGTAGAGCCTCACTACACAGCTCAGACTTGTAGTGATCCTCCTGTTCTCAGACTCCTCAGCACTGGAATTACAGGCATGCACCGCCATGCCTGGTCTCGGGTGACTGGCTCAGCACACCTGGAGATGGGCCAGCAAGGGCCTGCGGTGCTGGGGATCAAACCCTGGTCCCTGTGCTTGCCTAAGCAGACACCTAATCTGCTGAGCTGATTCCTGGGAACTACACTTTGATCTTTGTTGAATTTTTACCCAGAAGTTTCTCCATTTCCAAGCTATTCATCTTTTACTAGGCACCTCGTACACAGGAATAGCAAGTTTCCAATTCCTGCCGAGCCCTAATGACCTCTCCACCAGGAATGTATTTCACACAGCTGCCCATATGTCTGCTTCCTCTCTCATTTCACCCTAGGTGCTCAGGTCAGAAGCAGAAAGTCCCTCGAGTTGTATCCGGCATGACCAAGCGGTCCACTATGGAGTTTGTCTCCTTTTCTTGTAAATGAAATCATCTGGACCCCCAAATGCTAGTGCTGGAGAGACCTGAGATTTACTCCCCTTTTACTGACTGAACAGGAGACAACAAGTGGTGGTCAGGTGTACTATGGAGAGCCCAGGCCTCTCCTCCCAGCCAAGCAAGCACTGTCCTATGGCTGGGGCTGCTGCTTTTTTTTTTTTTTTTTTGGTGGTACTGGGGATTGAACTCAAGACCCTGCACTGGCCAGGCAAGCACTTATTCTATGGAGCTATTTCCCTGGACCTGCGGAAGTCTTTTTAGCAGAGAAAGAAGTAAGTATTTATTCATTCAGCAAAATACTTGATTGCAGGGAGCCCATGAACTTTAAAGTATTGCTTAAATTTTAGGAGGTCTTCATAGTCTGTGGGATAGCTATGAGCAGGGGCTGTCCCAATTAGCCATCTGCTGCCTGCTTCTCAAGTTTGATTTTTGCTTCATACTTGAAACTGCAGTTTGTGTAGATGTTGAGATACTTCCACTAGCAGAGGTTCCTTCTACTGAACATATGTAATGAGTCTCTTGGGAAGAAAGGTGGCATGTGAGCCAGCCTCGAGCCCTCAGGTGCCAGAGATCCTGCAGCACCCATGAGGATGTGTGGTCCTCTTCCTCGTGCACAGGGGTGCAGGGCTTAGGCTCTTTCCTTCCTTGCTGTGGTACTGGCTTGGAAATTAACACAGAAAGGCTGATTTTGCTTGGAAATATAGAAAGGCAGAATGCAGGGCGAGTGGCTTCATCTTTCTCCCTGATTTACATTTTTTAAAAAATCAGATTTTATTGGTACATTTTGGATACACATGATCACATCCATCAGATTCTGTACCTGTATATAACTTGATCATTTTCTCCTTTCCCTGCTTCAACCCTTCCCCCCTGCCCATTTACAAAGGTACATGGGTGTACCCATACACCCATCTTTTGGATGGGTGCCATGTCACTGCAGGCTGGTGAAGGGTAGGCTGGCACTGAGGCCACGGACCCAACTGGTTCTGGGGTGTCACACTGTTCAGTCTTTATCTAATCAGATTTGTGCTCTTACTCAATGTTACTGGGTGACCACATAGCCTTTCCTCAGCCCTGCAGAAGTTCATTGGTAAGTGTCCTTACTGGGTTCATTCGGTAACCTACCTTGAGGATAAAGAAAGGGAGCAGCTAAATAGTCTTGAATTGGTAGAACTGGTAGGATTGGCGAGTTGGATTTGGTAGACAGATCTATCTCTTGATGGTTCTGAAGTCCAGGTTGCAGTGTCCTCTCCTTCCAACCAAGCTCCATAGTCCCAAAGGGACTGGAACCAGGACAGGCAGATTTGGGGAGTCACATCCCACCCAATGCCAGCTTTGAGGGCCATTATACCACTGTATCTCACCTTGTCAAGAACCATTTGCCAGGCCATGGGACTGGTGATGATTATGTCATTTAGTATAAGTACTCATTTAGTAAGTATATGGTTTGAGACAAGGTCTTGCTATGTAGTACAGGCCAGCCTCAGTGATTCTTTTGCCCCAGTCTCCCGAGTGAGGATTACAGGAGTGTGACACCATGTCCAGCAATTCCTGGTCTAAATACATGTTCTCTCTTGATCTAGAAACCTGTATGGATTCCTACTAAAGCTAGTGGATGTTTTGGTCTTTGGAGTTATCTTAGCCTTATGCTTGTCGGCTGGAAATATTCTGCCAACCCTTCACAACTAATGGGTATAAAGCCCATGATTGAGTCCTGTCCCTTCCTGACTTCTCCCACTGACTTTGGCGGTCTGGTTAGCTTTACAGTCACTTAAACTACCCATACTCCATCAATTCCCCTATGGGCCATATGGCTGGGGGGAGGGGGCATGTCCCTGTTGATTGCTTTTCTCCCAGGAGGTGTCAGGTATCCTGTACTTGAACTTACCTCACCTGGGTCGTCATGCTCCAAAGACATCGAGCTGGCGCAGACTGCTAGGTGGAGGCCTCTCTGTGCGGATGGCAATCCTAACACATGCTCCCTCAGAAGAGAGCTAAAGACCATACTGAACTGTGTACATGACAGAGCTGTGGTGCTAAGGTGGCTGACAAAGCACATTACGTCTTAAGATTTTACTCTTACATCTGAGCTATTCTAGGGTACGTGTACATGTCTGCATGTGCTGGGACTGCAACCCAGATTCTCACACAGGTTCAGCACATGCTCTCCCACTGAGCTACACCCAGTGTGCTGAGCTATTTTAGAACAGAATGTGGCCAGGCTCCCAGTCTCCCTCAGGGTTTTCACGTGGCTTCCAAAGGAAAGGAGGGACAGTGTGGACTTTTGATACAATGGGTGAAAGGGTTCAGGCCAGCAACACAATCATTCAAAGTCCAGACGAGGGATCAGTAAATACAACGTGCCTGAAAGTAGCCCTTGAGCATATTCCTCTGGTAGACATTAACCTGATGAAATTGATCTTGATTACAAATATACACTTTGCCCCTATCTCGCCTGGCAACCATGAAAAAGGCAGGTGTCCGTCTATAAAAGGAAGCAGGAGCTATGCTTGGCTTCCAGGCTCCAACATCGTCCTCTGCCAAGATGTGGCACCTCAGACTCTCTGCAGTGCTCATGATCTGCCTGCTTCTGCTGGGCCAGGTAAGGAAGGAAACGCATGCATGCTTGTGCACGTGGTAGTGGCAGTGGGATTCGAGGTGGACTTGAGACGCAAGCTCGTCCTCAGAGGGCCTCCTGTTCTGAGCCTACAGAACTGGAGAACGATCCTCCCATAAAGGTGTGCAGCAAGATGTCACTTCTTCCACACCTCAGGTAACCCTGTCTTTGTTCTACAGATAGATGGCTCCCCAGTACCAGAACTGAGCTCAGCAAAGAAAAGGCCACGAAGAATGACCCCATTTTGGAGAGGAGTGTCCCTCAGGCCCATCGGAGCCTCCTGCCGGGATGATTCTGAGTGTATCACAAGGCTATGCAGGTAAGCTTCACAAGTGGGTCCTGCGCTGGGCCAGAGCCACGGGATATGGGGCAGACGAGCAGAAAGAATACAGCCAGGATGGAGGAGTAGTGCCTGGGCAGAGGCTGCAAGCTCTGTGAATTCCTCAGAGCCAAGAGCCACCCAGGTACTACACAAAAGGACGTACCTCTCTTGAGACCAGACAGCGACCAGGTAGCATGACCCAGCAGAGGGAAAGGTAGCAGAAGTGGGCTTGGGCACTTGGAAGCCAGTCTTAACACCTTTTTTTCCCCACTAGAAAAAGACGCTGTTCCTTGAGTGTGGCCCAGGAATGATGCGCCTACCAGAGAAAGAGCACACAGTGGTCACCGCCAGCAATGCTCCATTCCGTGGAATACTGAGTAACTACATTTTGGCTGGAGATACACAAGTGAAGCACTCGTGTTTTAGTATTTAAAGACAGATGCATGCTTTATACTGGCCTCCCATTTTTTTTTTTCTTAGAATGTTAATATATAAGCATAACTAAATTTATCTTTTAGAGTTTATTTTTCTATGAATACCATTAAATAATTCTAATTGAAATTGTGGCAGTCTGAAATTCAAACTTGAAGGATTCAGTTTACATACTATAGAAAAAAAACAGCACTGCACAATGATGTGATAGCTTCTCCCTCTGGAAAGCGTGGTTAAGAGTTAATACTGCTTCAAGAGTCTTCTAAAGAACACAATGGCAGGCTAAGGGTAAAAGTCTAATAGCTACACGATAGGCCTTGGCAAGTTCCCAAGTTGTTGCCCTGAATCCTGGCCCTTACACTTCAGTTAAGGAAGGGATCAAGATAGGGGTCTGGGGCCCAGGGACATAGCTCAGTGGTCTAAGCGCCTGCTTGGCAAGCACAAGGACCAGGCTTTGATCCCTGGTACCGCATGCTGTGCCAGCCCTGTGCTGAGCTGGCCACTGAAACTGGACGTAGTGGTGCATGCCTCTAATTTCTGTGCTGGGGAGACTGAAGCAGGAGGATCACTCTGAGCTGTGTAGTGAGACCATCTGAGCTGTGTAGTGAGACCCTGTACCAAATAAGATTAAAAAAAAAAAAAAAAAAATTTGAGATGCCTGCTGGAGTAGGGCAAATGTAACCTACACACAAGGGCCCATGACCTGCAAATTCAGAATTTTTGTTGATTAGAAAAATGAGACCTGTACTAGTGAGACCAGACTTTCAGGTGTAGTTTATTTTAGTTTTGATGCCAAGAACCGAACCCAGAGAGCTTCCAGCTTGCCAGGCAGGTGTTCTACTGCTGAGCTAAATCCCCAGTCCCCAGACTTTTGAAAGAGTAAGTAGTACTGTACCCAAAAGTTGTATGAAAAGGGAACAGTGTCTAGAGCAAAAGAAGTATAAAGAGCACAGTGTTCATAAACTTTAATACAGAAAATCTATTTGATATTTATTAAACTTAGTTTCTCCAGCTATGGTTTGGCATTATACAAAGCATCTTAATGACACAGTAGAGTTAAAAAGATTTTTACAAATTGAAATGTGATACCCTTGTCTCCAAATATTTTAATTGCCATAAATTTGTTTAAAAATACACATTAAACACGTTTGACACTCTAAACTTTCTATAATTTCAATACCACAAAATACATATAATATACTATACAGATGTGGAAAAATCTAGTTAGTATATAATACTTTGCTCACCGTTAACAGCTTTATTATGTGAAATGCACATACTGTACTGACTTAGAAATCCTAGCTTTTGAACCCCAAAGTACCTCTGAAATTTTAATGTATTGCAACAAATAAAAATCACAGTATATAATTGAAATTTTGGTTGAAAATGTCAGATGCCTAAATATTTTGGATTAAAGAAATATAAACAAGATTAAGATCATGTACAAAACAAAGGCATCCTATTTGTCACTAACAGTACCTTTCTGCACAATCGACAGGCTTATAATTTATCAACAGTATTACCTCCCCTCCAAAACCCTCCCAATATCAAACAATTATTTACCAAATAATTTTCAAATAACATAAAAGGCTTTTCAATAAATATATAAGCATTTCCATCCTCCATATACAAAATTTCTTAAAATCACCCAGAACAGAGGCTAGATACAATATTTTCCTAACTGTGCTTACCAAGCCGCACCTGGCCCTGGCAGTGGCGCCTGCCCTTTCAGGCTCAGAAGGCTGGGCCAGCTCCACTGGTGAGCCCCACTCCCAACCCAGTGCTGCTGAGGGCTCACTTGTCAGTGACCTGCCAGGGGGTTTGTACAGCTGTAAAATGGCAACACTCCTTGAACAGCAACAACAAATTCAACAATGGGGATAATCTTGGCTTCAATTTGAAAGGCAGTGTTTCCAAGTAGGTGTTTTAGAGAGGAACCTAATAGGTAGAAAATACCAATGGCTAAAAGCTTCAAATGACTTGCATATGGAGGTCACAAGAGATCAAAATTAAGTACTAGAATTTCTCAGTGGGAACTTTTCCACACCCATTTTGAGAACTTTGTTTTTGCCAATAATAATGCTAATTTCTGCTCAGCTGAACATTGGTGGCAAGGAGAGGGCCATGTAAACATTCCCCAAAATCATCTTGCTGTGATGACTGTGTAGGTTATTTTAGAATACTTTAAATATCTATGACTTTGTCAAGACAACTTGAACCCCTTGTTCTATGACCAAATTTTATTTTAATCTTTTATTTATTTACTTGGTACAGGGCCTCACTACATAGCTTGGACTTGTAGTGTTCCTCCTGTCTCAGCTTCCCCAGTGATGGGATTATAGGCATGCGCCACCACTCCCAGTTTCAGTGACCAGCACGATGGTGTGGCATGTGCTGCTGGGGAATCAAACCCAGGTCCTTGCACTTGCCAGGCAAGTGCTTAAACTGCCGAGCTGTCTCCCCGGTCCCCAAATTTTATTTGAAAAAGAGATGCACGTATTCCTTCCGTTCCCTTTTCTGAAGGTAATTAAGTTCTTTTACATTAACCACAGAGTCCAACATCCCTTTACCAACATTTACAATTTATTTCCTGTCATTTGCTAGCTTGGTTTTGGAGTCCAGAAATCTGAATTACATTTCTCCACTAGCAAGTGGGTGAAAGATATGTTCACAAACATGACTAATTTAGCCTCTTGTCCCTGCTTTTTCCAAGCAACTTGATTATTTCTCCTACTGATTTTTACAATAGCAAAACTTTGGTGTATAATATTGTTACTGGAAAAGTCTGCCTCTCCAACACACTATATGTGAAGTTAAAATGAAATCTGTTCTGTATTATCTAGGGAGTACGAGTCACATGAGTCTATGTGGATTTGAAATGCTCTGGCTCCCTAAGTTATTCAGGTTTTGTTGTCCTTTCAAACTCCTATAAATCAAAATACAAAATGAAGCCATTTTGTTCAATTAGCTACCAGAAAATGAAAATCTTCCCACCCTGTAAGAGCCCTATAATACTACATAAGAGCTCAAATATATTTTAGAAGTTGATTTACTACAAATCATAGTAATTAAGCTTTAACCATCTAAAGGAATACACATTGCACCCTTGAACATTATTATTCAAGGTGTGAACAAGAAAGTGTCTTAGATCAATTTAATAAATAATGTGGAAATAGTTGCACTAAGCTAAAATACTAAACACACATTTTGACAAACTAATTTCATGTATTCATACATACACATATATATATATATACATATATATATATATAAAGTGTGTATGTGTACAGAACTTTAAGATCCAACGTTGCATATGCTCACCCCTGGAAGAGCACACAGCGCACCCTTCCTCTACACAGCTACGCATCACTGACTGAAACATTCACTGACTGAAACTCCACCGAGGACTGGCTCCCAAAGCCAGAGCTTTCATTTAAAATAGGTGCCTTTGTAGGCTTCTGCTTCGCAATGTAAGCACATTCATTAAAAGTTAATGTTCCGAAGTTTCGGTTGTTAAAACACAAAATAATGCTTCCTCACCTAGTTGATTAAAATCTTTCATGAAAAGAAATGAACAAGTTAAAAACAGTGAATCTACTGAAGCACAAGTATATCAAAGTGCAGCCCAGATGCCTATGTCAACCCAGTGCAAAGCTCCCCAGAAACATAGGCATATGTAGGCATGTGCACACATTAAACTTTTACACTGAAGAATTAAAATCACGGGTGCTGTCTTCTCCACTCTTCAGCAGCTACAGCTGTAAATTTATCTGAAGTGTTCACTGCTTATAAAGTTTACTTCTTGGTTCCTTGCCCAGAAAAAGGTGGCACTGAGACAGGGGAAGGGCTGGATGCTCGCCAGCCAGATGGGAGACTGGGCCAGGCTGTGGAAGCCTGAATTACTGGTGGGGAGTGTTCCCCACGGCCCAGCCAAGCCTGGGCAAGACTACTCTCACTCCGTCCGCTGCAACTGGTATGCTGGTTGCCTACAAAGGCTGCTGCCTCCTGGAATACAAGTATGGTCTTAAAGAGCAGTTAATTTAGTAATTTTTAAAAACAGTTGCTATTTTCATGAACTGTATATTAAGTACACAAGTCTCGGGCTAAGTTTTAGTCACTTGTCAAATTGAGTTTTAAATGTTAGAAAACACTGAAAATACCTGCTGAGGAAAGTAATGGTCACCTATACAGAAGTTCAAAGTATGTGTTGGAGCGGATGACAGAGAGCATTTGAGAAGGTAAGAGAAGGGAGCAGTAGTTCCACAGATCAATATTTCTGAAATTCAATTATTTACGATTGGATTTTGATCCATACCCCATTACCACTTGGTAGGAAAAACTGTCCACAAAGAAAAGTTTCAAAAATTCATTCTACAATAATTAACATAGTTTTAAAGAGGCAATATCTTAGAGCAGCACCATAAACACATAGGAAACTCTGCTTTAAGAAAATATCCCCAGAAACGCTCCTGATCCCTTTCAGGACAGAGACTACAATGCACTGGAACTCAGAGATGCCCTGCTGGCTGCTGTTAAGTTGCAAATTAAGGAATCAGTCACAAAAGTCAGAGGGCAGGACATACATATATACTTCATTAATCATTATTTCTACTAAAGAACTATCATAACTGCTGAGGAATTGTCCTCTTTAAGAAAAATTGTTCCTAGAACACACTAAGATTAAATCAAAAGATATCAGAGGCAATTTCTCCAAGAGAAAAAGGTTAAATTCTACATAATTTGAAGACTTCAATCTTCAATGGTACATAACAGTAACTTGAGGCACAGAACCACTAGAGCTCTACAAACATGAAGCCACAGGACAGTGAGAGCTCACTAGCTTCAGAGGTTAAGTGTAGCAGAGACTTGAGCAGAGGGCCCAAAGCACCACTGGGCCTGGAGATCTGCTCCTGCTTTCCCCTTTCTGGTTTCAAGCCTCAGCAGTCACCTACAAACAGTAGGGCAATCATTTTTCCTAACTGGACAGATTCAGTTTTGGAATAAGAAGACAAACTATTTCTTCTGAAGCAGCATTACCCAATTAGACTAAGTCCTATCTAACTTTTAAAAAATGATTAATCCTTATGTGATCCTAAAGGGAGATTTAAAATGAAAGAAAATTTATTATTAATGTGAAGGACAATCTGGTCCTAGTGTTAAATTTTATCTGTAAACAATCCACAGAGTCTTCATTTAAAGGTAAGATTTAAGGCACACCAGACATGATAGGGGCACTCAAACTATAGAGGGTGCATTTCTTACCCTTGACTCCTTTATGCACCTTGTAGGGAAGGGTACTCTGATATACAATTCTTATGGAGCTGGCTTCTTAAGCTCTAACACTGTTCTCCTCCCCTTCCAGGAGCTCACATTGAACCAAGTTAGTACTCTTCTGTGTGAATTTTCTGATCGTGTAGATACATACATCACTAACGGGGGCCTTTATAATGGAGAAATTCATCATCTCTACGACAGGTATTAGCACTTGTACACTGTACAGCAAAACCACACACACCAACAGTACCAGTCACTGCATGCTCGTATCAGAGCATCCCAAGCGAGTATGGGGGGAAATTCTCCTAAGAGATTTTAACATTTGGACATTATCAACGGAAGAGATATAGGCAGGAACCCTTAAGAGATAAATTATCCTTTTTAAAAAGTAACTTATTCTGCTTCAATTAAGTGTCAAATGAGTAGTAATAAGAACAGTTTTAATAAAATCCATAAAATACTAAGATTGTCCTTTTATGAAACCTTCAAAATGATATGCTTCTTCTAGAATGTCTGCCTGTTCTCTTTTGTAATGCATTAAATGCAAGTTACAGTCACCTTGTGATTGCTATAGTGTTAACACACATTCACAGTTTTTGAAATAATGCATACCAAATAAGACACATTTCATTTTTTATATCCATGTCTAATGTTATCCTCTCATATTTAAATGACTTCTCATGTGTAGAATGCTTAGGACTAAGCATAATTTCACAATAATAAAATTGTAGCTAAGATTTGAAATAATATCAGGTAGTAGAGATGGAAAGAACATATCCCTATTTTACTCACAGAACAACTACCACAAAAAAAAACTCAAAAAAACTAGGTAACGAAGCTCCCAAATATATAAATAAAAATGCTTACATTATGTTTATGCTAAATATTCAACAGAGCAAATTTATAAGCAGAAATAACTAAGTTTTAAACAAGCCCCAACTTGGGAAACTAAAAAAAGAAAATAAATAGAATTTTACTTGGTTAGTTACAAATTACAGCTGGAATTCAATCATATTATAGAACACTAAAGTCATCTTAGCAATGTGCTGCCGATTTAACATTTAAATAACATTTAACACTTAGCATTTAAATAATTTTTCACATTGGGAATATTGAAGGGGTCAACTGACAGGATGGCTTTGGGATATAAACAACACACGAACCATGGAGGAGAAAAATCATTCCTCTTAGTGTTAACTAGGTGACATGTTATGGCAGTTTTCCTTTGTGATGTGACACAGTGTTGTGGAGAAAATTGGAGGCAACAAGAATGTGTTCTGTTCAAGATACCAACTTGGCATCCTGGCGAAGCCAGTGCAGTCCCTGCCGGGTATAGCGAGCTAGATCTGTCATGATGCTTGCATTAAAGATGAGAGGGCCCATTACTTTATCCAGTTCAGCAAAGAATTCTAGAAAACACAACAAAACAAAAACAACAAAAAAAATTAAATAATACACACTCTTTCAAATTTCTGTTTAAAAACAAGTCTGGGCTATAAAACAGCATTCACATGAAGTAAAAAAATGCCCTCCCACACTGAAATGGTGAGTCTGCCTCAGAACGAGCATCCCCATTGTCTCTGAAGTCATGCTGTTCCGGAAGTCACGCAATGTTTTAGAAAATGAAGTCTGAAATTAAGTGCTATATGTACATGCAGCACACCCCTCACAATAATGAGAAAGTACTAATATGTATTAGAATGGATACTTAGTGCCACACACTTACAGAGTGCCCTGTTTGATTACTCAAAACATTCTCTATGTACTGTTTTTAAGAAGCAAATAGCACAAAACAGGAAAATTTTGCTCATTTCTATTACCATAAAAGCACATTAATAAATAAAGTGTTCAGGAAGATACTCTTTGCATTTTCCCATAACAGCCCTTGTGAGGCTAGATAATTATGACAATCTGCACTCAACCTTTCTGCCGTAATTGTATGTTGTGTATCACTGATAAAACCCATACTTTCAGACGGTAGTTCAAAAATTCAAGGGATGGAAATAAAAGGATTCTTCCTATGTACGCAAATAAAAGGCTGCATGTGAGAGAAACTGGGAGGAAGAACAATGTCCTAGGGTTTGATTCCAATGTAATTATGGGAACAGAAAAAAGGATGCAAGACTAGACATAAGAGTGTTTTTAGACATGCAGAGAAAGAGTTCTTAAAGATACCATATTATTTAAACAGGGCAGGGAGTAACTGAACACTTGAGGGAAGGCTCATCTTTAAAGAATTCTAGCTATTAAATACAGAAGGAATGTCAGAATAGAAAATTACTAATGAGAGCTGGGGATGTAACTCAGTTAACAAAATACTTGCCTAACACACACAAGACCCTAGGTTTTTAATGCTTGGTACCATAAGAAGAGAGGTAGGCCAAGGGGGAGATACTATAATCTTGGACCTAAGCAATGATCATCAACAAATGTAGGACCTGGGAGATGGCTCAGTGGAATAAGTGCTTCCCTGGCAAGTGCAAGGGCCTGAGTTCAATCCCCAGTTCCGCCAAAAAAAAAAAAAAAACAGCGCACCTTAGCAAAGAAATGTTATATATAAACCTTGTTTAGATCCTGTTTAAAATTTATTTATTTATGTATATGTGTGTGTGTGTGTGTGGCCAGCTCAGCCCACCAGGGGGTGGGGCTGGCTGGCATGTGGTGCTGGGAAATTGAACCTTGGTCCCTGTGCTTTGCTTAGCTCGTTCTAGGTAGGTGCTTTAGACCACTGAGCCATCTCACCAGCCCAAGAACTGAGCTAGGACTGGGCCCCCAGATCCTGTTTGAAAGAAATCTGACCATTTAAAAAAATAAGAATGGCTATTTGCAATAAGCTAAATTAGATGATAGATTAAGTATGAGAGAACATAAAAGTTTTTCTTTTACCTTTTTCTCATCATTATTCTTTAGAAATAGGAGAGAAATCTTTTATTTACATATGACTGCCTGATCATACTGTATTTAAGTACTCTGTGATAAAATGACACTGACTGGTTATTCTAGTATTTCTCTGAAAACAGAATACATGCTATGAACTTATATTTGCAAATAAAAATCTACTAAAAAAAGCTAGTGTTCACATAGTACTTTCCTCTAAGAGCTTTATTTATTTATTTTTTGCAGTACTGGGGATTGAACTCAGGATTTAGCCTGACAAGTGCTTATTCTCAGCTATCTCGCCAGCCCTAAGAGCTTTAAATGCTTCTATAATTTTCAATATTCTCAGTTTAGGCAATAATAAACCTTTTCTTTTTCCCACTTATTTATTTGATAACAGGGTCTCACTACACAGGTAGGACTCGTAGTGAATCTTTCAGCCTCCCCAGTGCTGGGATTATAGGCATGCATCACCACAGCCAGACCTAGGGGAAGGACTGGCACAGCATGTGGGAATGGGGATTGAACCCTGGTCCCTGTACTTGCCAAAGCAAGAACTTAATCTGCTGAGCTATCTCACTAGGCAAAAAATAAACTTTTAAGATGAAATGCCTCGGGGCCGGGGAGATGGCTCAGTAGAATAAGTGCTTGCCTGGCAAGCTCAAGTGCCCTGAGTTCAATCCCCGGTTCCACCAAAAAAAAAAAAAAAAAGATGAAATGCCTCAACCTAATTTTAAGGAAATCTAAGAAATCTAAAAATCCAGTTAAACATCTCAAATGAAGATATCTAAATGTAATCATATTTTTATAGTTAAATATTAATCAACCCACATTGTGACATATTGCTTTTTTAATTTTAGACAGGATTTTGCAGCCGTCCAGGCTGTCCTCAACTTGCAACAACCCCCCTGCCTCAGCTCCTGAGTGCTGAGACTAAAAGTGTGCCACCATGCTCGGCTGACATATTAAAGTGTAAAATGCAATTCATATATCAAAAATGACACCCATTGTTCAGACTAAGACTGTTTAGCTTGTGTCACCAAGATCATGAGGGTATCATTACACAATAACATATACCACTTAACTAAATTCTAAAAGTTCCTTTTAACAATTCTATCCTTCAAAGTTTACTTAAAATGCTAAGTACCTTTCTGCTCTTTGGCAAGCTGCTCAGCTTGGTCCCAAATTTCAGTGGCATAGAGAAAGTTGGATGTAACCTGAACATAACTGGCTGCCATCTGGTGGATTTTCTGTGGAATGGTCACTGAAGAACCGCTTGTTGAACTACTGCCCCCGGAAGAATAATTTCCTGAATTGCCTGGTGACAGCTTTGGAGACACAGGAGAAGGCATCCCAACAGCTTTGCTATACACAAAAGAAAATTGGAAGCTAGTTTATATAAGCATAATATTATGAAATCAATATACTACTGGCTTTTCCTAGATGAAAGCTTTTAAAATTTAAAGCTCTTTTTTAGATTAGAAGGATTCCCAGAAAAGTACAATTTCTTCTAAGTAATAGAATGGTGGTAAGTAGTATCACAAACTCAATTTATTCCACGATTCTGGTCACAAACTGAACTGGATGAGAACCAAATCAAATTTCCCCATAAAGTCATCATTGAAACTTAGCCACTGGGATGGATGGATGGATTGATTGATTGATTGATTTATTGCAGTATGGAGGATCAGACTCAGGATCTTCCACTTGTAGGCAGGTCTTTATGCTGCTGAGCTATCTCCCCAAACCTAGTTATTAAATTTGGTTCTTGTCCAGTTTGGTTTGAAACCAGAGTCATGGAAAGAATTAAGTTCATGAACTGAGGTACCAGTGTACCAAAGGTCATTGTGAATTCTGTTATTTAGATCTTTTGTCTTAATGAATGGCAAGAGAACAAAAAGTGGGAGATAACCAAGAAGTCACAGTGCTGTGTTAGCAGCAGTGCAAACCTGCAAAGCTTTATCCCCTCACTCTAGTTCAACACACTTTCCACCTGGTCAGGCACGTAATCCTGTGTTTTTCAGATCATTCTGGAAAAGAGTAGGTGGACTTCACAACCTTCCAAATTTTGGTAGTAGGTAAGAACTTTTTTTTTTTTTTTTTTGGTGGAACCAGGGATTGAACTCAGGCTCTTGTGCTTGCCAGGGAAGTGCTTATTCCACTGAGCCATCTCCCCGGCCCCTGAGAACATTTTTTGAGTTCTATAATTTGTAGCACTTTCCTAATTTAACCAAGTTACTCCAAATGAAAAAGAGGGGCCAGGGAGATGGCTCAGTGGAATAAGCGCTTCCCTGACAAGCGCAAGGGCCTGAGTTCAAGCCCCGGTTCCGCAAAAAAAAAAAAAAAAAGGAAGAACAAAAAAGATGTACAAAGTCCCCTTAATCAACTGTAATCATCTCAAGCCTCCTGCCAATTAAATATTCAACACATTAAAATATTTCATTTTAGGGCTGGGGAGATAGCTCAGTAGAATAAGCGCTTGCCTGGCAAGCACAGGGTCCTGTGTTCAATCCACAGTACTGAAAACAAATAAATAAAATATTTCATTTCAGTTGTATTAAAAATTGTGAAACTGCCCCAAATTATGATTACAACACTAAAACAGGAAAACCAAACAAAACTTCAGGAAGAAATCTGGGGGGGAGAGACAGACAGACAGACAGAGACAGAAACAGAAACAGAAAGAGAAAGAATTGGGGGGGCATCTTTTATCTTTTTGAGACAGAGCTCACAATGCAGTTCAGGCTGGCTTTGAACTCTGTGCGTGTGTGTGTGTGTGTGTGTGTGTGTGTGTGTGTGTGTGTGTGTTTGAGACAGAGTCTTGCTATGTATCTCAGACTAGCCTCGAACTTGTAGTGGTCCTCCCACCTCAGTGTCCCAAGTGATGGGATTACAGGGTGTGCACCATTCACTTGTTTATATATTGTTAGAATTACAAATTTGGTTAGAAAAATATAAACAAGGCAAAGACTGAATGTCAAATTCATATAAGTATAATAAATGAACAGATAACCTTAAAAAATAAAAAGGTTTTCATGATCTTTTGCCCCCTTTGGGTGTAGCTGGGATGAGTGATGTATGTGACAAAAAGTCACAGTCATGCCACTAAATTCTGAGAATGCCACGCCTGAGTAAAGTCCACAGAAATAAACCTAAGCAACTACAGAAATGAAATTGAGAAGGGTTAAAGTGTTGTTAAAAATTCAAGTATCTGTAGGTAAAAATGCCTCATCCATAACTGTAGTTATATATATATATTTTTTTAAATATTTATTTTTATTTATTACATTTATTTATTGTGTGTGTGTGTGTGTGTGGCCAGCTCAGCCCACCAGGGGGCGGGGCTGGCTGGCATGTGGTGCTGGGGATCGAACCATGGTCCCTGTGCTTTGCCAAGCTTGTTTCAAGTAGGTGCTTTAGACCACTGAGCCATCTCTCCAGCCCTATAGTTATATTTTTAATTCACAAATTAAGAAAACTTTTTTAAAAACATTTGGGGAGGGGCCAGAGATGGCTCAGTAGAATAAGTGCTTCCCTGGCAAGCGCAAGGGCCTGAGTTCTATCCCTGGTTCTGCCAAAAAACATTTGGGGAGGGTGTAGCTCGGTGGTAGAACAAAGGGTTAGTATACACAAGGTCTTGCCTGGGTTTAATCCCCAGACACAACAAATGAAGAATGAATGAATACAATATCACAGATTAATTTTTAAAAAAGTAGTTGCCGTTTTCCCATTTTTGACAAGCAGATCTCTAGCCATTCTACCTCCACATCACACAAACATAAGCCCATGTCAAACAACTGTTGTCTGCATACAGTACTGGAGTTATAACTCAGGGCCTTGCCAGTGAGCTACAGTCCCAGCTGTTTTTTTAAGTTGAAGGGTCTCGGCTGGGGAGATAGCTCAGTGGCTTAAGTGTCTTGCATGGCAAGTGCAACATCCAGTACTAACAAACTACCTACCTAATAAAACAACTGATAACAGAATAAATAAGTCGAAGGGTCTCACCTAATTAGTTCACCCTGGGCTTGAACTTGCAATCTTATTTCAGCTTCCAAAAGTGCTGGGATTACAGGTATGTGCCATCACATTTGCTCCAAATAATACTTTATAGAATAAAATTTGACCTACCTTCCTAAGCCAGGGGATGGTGCTTGAGAATTATTGTAAGAATTCTGCAGAAAAACATAAAACATACTTAACAAACAAAAAGCCAAAGATATTACTACTTACAAAGTGCTAAATATATCTAGAAGCATGAGCTAATCTTAAGATGCTTTATCAACTGAAAACACTAAAATGTATGTGCATGCAGGCAAAACTGAAAAGATGTTATGCAGAGAGAGCTAGGATATCCTAGAAAATTACATGAACAAGCAAGGGAAGAATGAGTAACGCAGAAGAGGAACTGACACAGAGAGATGAGTTACATTATGTACAAAGACATGGCAAAAAAGAGAATGTATGTGACTCACAGTCTGAATAAAGCAGAGAGTTTAAACAAGGAATGAGAGACAGAAAAACCCTGAAGACCTAGTAGGTTTGGGTAAGCAGTACAGACCTAACCCTAAGGACAACAGTGAACTACTGAGGGGCTCCAAGTCTAATATATACATACATACATACATACATACATATGTATCTATATGCATGCTATATATATACACACCCCAATAAATCTCAAACAGTTCAGAGCTCTGAAACAGTAGCTCCTTCCCTCTTGTGTCCTATGAGACCACTTCTAGGGAAGGAATGGAAGACGTCACAAATTTAGTCTCCTGGGACATGGATCCTCCTCTTTTGCATGCTTACCTTCAGGTGCTCTGTTAGAGTCTTTGAGTACTTCAAAGCATTTTCCTTCTTCAGTTTGAATAGCCTCAGGTACAGCAAAGACTGGCATCTCAGGCTAGCCAATGGAAAAGGCAGCTTATTTACCAGGACAGCAAACTCTGGCCACAACTTCAGAGACAACCTTGGCACCATGCAAGAGTAGACTGGCTCTTGGCAGGAGTGTAAGACTAAACATCAGGGTGGACCTCAGCACAGTGTCACCAAGCCTAAGCCTCAGACATAACCCAAAAAGTGTGTTCTCCTTATAGTGGGAAGGGAACATGGTTAAAAAAACCCCAGATTAGTCTCCAATTAGTGATGTTCACAAATCAAAACTTACCACAGAATTTCAATGTGTAATCATAAAATAAGGCATTTAAAAAATTGCTGAGAGAGAGTCCCCAGGCCAAACTATAATCTAAAAATTAAGACACAAAACACTACAAATCTTCTTTGTTTGTTTGGTGCTAGAAATTGAACTCAGGAGTACTTGCCAGGCAGGGGCTTGTGCTGCTGAGCTATATCCCTAGCCCAAACACTGTGACTCTGAAGGAACACTAACAGTTTATACAAATTCCCTTCATGATCATCCCTGCCTATCTAGTCATGTTGACTTCCTTCTAGTCCTTTAGTGTTTTTTGGTTTTTTTGGTCTTTTAAAGGCAGGGTCTCATTTTGCAGCTCAGGCTGGCTTTGAGCTCACTTTGTAGCCCAGGCTGGTCTCCAACTCAACGATCCTGCCTCAGCAGGGATTACAGGTATGTGCCACCACACTCGGCCTTGTTTCTTGAAAGTTTCCTATTCTTTCCCATCATGCAGTCGCTTTAATATGTTGCTCTTTCTACCTAGAGATAGGTCTTGTCTTTATACTATTTCTCAAGTACTTACCTCATATACTTTTGCAGTTGTTTGATCAATTTCTATCTCCTCAAACTAGACTATATGCTCCATGATGAATAGGACTATGTTGGATTAATTCAGATATACACTCAATGTGAAATATAGTGCTGAGTCTAAAATAAGTAAAATTATAGTATCTTCCTGGCTAGGGACAAAGCAAACAGGTCATAATCTTTTTCTTCTAAGAAAAAAGGATGTATGTGGATGGAGGGATGATTCCCCCCACCCAAAAAAAGAGTCCACACAAGTGAACTTTAAAGTCAATAAAGAGTTCTGATGAGGACCAGCCAAATAGCTCAGCAGACTACAAGGCCTGACTGGATTCAATCCCTGGCATGCTGTGCTGGCCCGGCCCCTGGGACACAATAGAGGTGGTGACTAAGACTGGGCATCGTGGTACACCCCAATAATCCCAGTGCTTGGGAGGCTGAAAACAGGAGGATCATTACAGTCCAATCTGTATAGTAAGACCCTATAGTCCCTGTACTAAAATACCTCAAAAAAAAAAAAAAAAAAAAGTTCCGATGAGTCCTGCCCTACCAAGGCTTTCATTAAATAGCAATGGATCAGAGAAACAGACAGACAACTATAATCTCTCAGCAGGAATGTGAAGTTATTTACTTTTCTTTTTTTAAAAAAAATGTATTTGGGGGCTGGAGAGATGGCTCAGTGGTCTAAAGCACCTACTTAGAACAAGCTTAGCAAAGCATCAGGGACCGCGGTTCAATCCCCCAGCACCACATGCCAGCCAGCCGCGCCCCCTGGTGGGCTGAGCTGGTCTCTCTCTCTCTCTCTCTCTCAAATAAATAAATAAATAAATAAATAAATAAATAAATAAATAAAAGAAATGTAGAAGAACTAAAAATCATTTAAAAAAAAAAAAAAACTAAAAAAAAAATGTATTTGGTTGTGCAGCTTGGACTCAATATGATCCTCTTGTTTTTTAGCCTCTCCAGCACTGGGATTATAGACGTGCACCACCACGCCCAGACTCTGTGGCCAGCTCAGCTCCCCTGAAGGTGGGGCTGACCTGGCATGTGGTGCCAGGAATAGAACCAAAGTCCCTGCACTTAACTAAGCTTGCCCAAGCAAGCGCTTTAGTCTGCTGAGCTATCTCACTGGCCCGTTAAAATTATTTTCTGCTGGACTCTTTAAGAACAGGTTTGTTACAGGGATATAGAAGGCTATGCTCAAAACAACATACACACCCGAGCTTGGCTGCTGGCCCTGCCCCTGGGGCACACTGAGAGGGCAACTGAGACTGGGTGTGGTGGCATGTGCCTATAATTCCAGCTCTTGGGAGGCTATAAACAGGCAGATCACTACGAGTCTGATCTAGTAGTGAGACCTTGAACACTCTGTAGACCCGTCCCTAAAATACAAAAACAACATACACAGCACAATTTATCAAGGAATTGCTTATTCCTGAGCAGAGACTAGAACAGAAATACTCACCAAAGCACTGTGAGTCTTTTATCTGCAGCCGTGGCATCTGGTGCCAAGTAATTCTTTAGCTTCATGGTGTATCTGTGAATAAGTGAATACTTGAGATTATTTTAAGAATTTTGTAGAAAACAAAATTTACTTAGTAAACAAAAGCCCAAAAAACACCACCACATATAAAATAGTAAGTATATCTAAAAGGACTGGGGCTGGGGCTGGGGTTGGGGTGATAGTGCAATGGTCTAAGCACCTTCCTGACAAGTGCAAGGACCCAGGTTTGATCCCTGGTACCACACACCATGCAGGCCAGCCCCCAAACAAGGTATGGTGGCACACTCCTGTAATTCCAGCACTGGGGAGGATTACTAGGAGTCCAAGCTGCACAGTGAGTAGGTAGATGGATAGATGGACTGATCGATGGGTGGGTGGGTGGATGGATGGATGCATGCATGCACTGGACCTCAAAGCTCATCTTAAGAAACTTCCCTTAGAAAGTTTTAAAAAATAAAGAAACTTCCTTTGAAAGAAAAAAAAAATCTAGTTAGGATAATTACGTTACTATTCTCTTAGTTCATTAAAAAGAAAGGTTTGTGCTAATATTGTTTGGGAAATTATTATTATTTTGTATTTTAGGGAAGGGTCTACAGAGTGTTCAGGGTCTCACTACTAGATCAGACTCGTAGTGATCTGCCTGTTTACAGCCTCCCAAGAGCTGGGATTACAGGCATGTGCCAGCATGCCCAGTCTCAACTGCCAACTCAGTGTACCCCGAGGGCAGGGATGACACAGCAGGTCCAGGGATCAAACCCCTGACCCCTGCTCCTGCTTGTAGGTGCTTTAATCCACTGAGCTATTTGGCCAGCCCCTGTTTGGGAAATTAAACGCCAATGTCTTTTACTGAGTAATTATTTTAAAGATAACAATATGCAATGTTTTAACCTGTTACCCTTCCATTACTGTTTTGAAATTTGTTTTTCTCTATTAAAAACAAAACAAAACAAAAAACAACTTACTTTGATCTTATGACTTTGTTCTCAAACAGAATCAAACCTAAATGAGACACCCACTAGGATATCTACTTGTCTTTTTCCAAGAAAAATAAATAATTAAGCATCCACTTTAGTTTATATATATCAACCCCTTTCAAGATGGACTAGAGAAATGTTATTGTCAATGATGCAGTAAATATTTCTACTTACTTGATGAGCTCCACTGTGTCTGAATACATAGGAAATGGAGATTTGGATTCCTGAGCATTCTTCTCTAATGCATTCCCACATTCGATAAAAGATACCACAGCATCAAGGTAGTATACTGCTTTCTCAAACCTATCAGACTAAAGAACGGAGAATAAAAGTTAAGGGGTAGTGAGCAATCCCTTAGTACAAACAAATGGGGATTTATGCTAATGTGATTAAACAGTACAAGAATATTTACATACCAACGCATCTGCATTGTGCTTTAGCTTTTTTGCTTCTTGTAAATAATGGTCTGCTGAGTAATTTCTGCAATATAAATTTTCATTGTTAATAAAAATAACAAATTTTTTTTCTAAGATAATAGTTCCTTTCAGTCTCCAAAATAACACTTCATGTTCTCTCAAGTAAAAAAAAAAAACCTACCACTAAACATTCATTTGTCTTTTAACAAATGTTTTTATCAAGTTAATAACATTAACCCACAGCGAATGTTTACTTAGATCAACAGAAATCAAGCTCCCTACTATGTATGAATGCATGTATATACATATTTATATTTTGCAGTCCTACGAATTGCACCTAGGGCCTTGTATTGAGCTGTACCCTCAGATACATAAATAGAAAGATCTTTCTATATATTGATACATAGGTTTTTAAAAAAAATTCTTTAGACAGGGTCTCATTAAGCCAGACTGAACTTGGAACTTATTATCCTCCTGTCTCAGCCTCCTGAGTAGTTGGGATGTCAGGTGTGTACCACCACACCTGGCTCAAGCGCCTTAATATTAACTACTAACTTTCTTAAATTACTTGAAAGATTAAAAGTAAAAGGCCATTGAGAAAATGCTTTATAATAGCATTAATAAAATTTTTAACTTGAGAAAAAAAAGTAAAGGGGTCAGGGAGATGGTTCAGTAGAATAATTGCTTCCCTGGCAAACACAAGGGCTTTCGTTCAATCCCTGGTTCTGCAAAAAAAAAAAAAAAAAAAAAAAAAAGAGTAAATAAAAGCTAGGTATGGCACATGTCTATAAATCCAACACTCAGGAGGTTGAGGCAAAATGATTAAGACTTAGAGGCCAAGCTGGGCTACACAGCAGGTTCAAAACTGACTTGGACTGCAGTTGAAACCCTGCCTAGAAAAAACCGAAAAGAGTAAAGACAGACACAGGAGAGATAACCGTTTAACAAAAACTCAGGGAGCAATAACACTGCTCTACCTTAGCCAAGACAACACCAACTTTAATCAGTGATGCAGTGGTATCACAACACTACCCACCTACTGGAGGGCACAGCACCCTTGTCCCACACAAGGGTGATAGGGTTATTAAAGCAGCAGTAGTGAATTAGGATTAGAGAGTGCTTTCAAGTTAAACTCAAAATACGATGTGGATCACACACAAATATTAAGCCTTTAGTCACTGACAGAAATGGAGTTTCTTTTACTAGTGACTCTAGTCATTTCTTTTTTTGGTTTTTTGGTTTTTTTTGCGGAACCGAGGATTGAACTCAGGTCCTTGTGCTTGCCAGGGAAGAGCTTATTCCACTGAGCCATCTCCCTGGCCCTCTAGTCATTTCTTTTTTAAATTTTTTTATTTATTTGAGAGAGAGAGAGAGAGAGAGAGAGAGAGAGAGAGAGAGAGAGAGGTGTGTGTGTGGCCAGCTCAGCCCACCAGGGGGCGGGCTGGCTGGCATGTGGTGCTGGGGATTGAACCGTGGTCCCAGACGCTTTGCTAAGCTTGTTCTAAGTAGGTGCTTTAGACCACTGAGCCATCTCTCCAGCCCCCCTCTAGTCATTTCTTAAACACATTTTTAAAAATTGTATTTATCTCACCTGTCGTCAAAGGCGAGCTTTGTTCTCCTAGGCTTAGAAGCATCAGGAACTGCTGTTGATGGAGGACAATTAGAGGAGCTATTTGGAGCCTTTTCCTAACCAAAAAAAAAAAAAAAAAAACATATACAGTATGTTACAAACTGTGCAGTAAAAATTAGGCTAACAGGCTACATAATTTCCTTAGCTACTGCTAAAATGAAAGCAAAACTTAATTGTCTTTGAACTTTTATAATGTAAACTTTTTAATGAAATGGGTTCATTTTATTATGTAACCAAAACACTTACTCTCATATTTACTAAGAATTCCACTATATGGGCTAAGCAGCTGTCAAAGTTAAGGAAGAGACAAAGCACACATCAAAATGGCAATAGAACTTAGGGCAAAATTTACTGATCAGTGAACATAGTAGCAATAGTAAATTTTAGGCAATAGGTTAACTAAGCACTTAGCATAGCTGTTAATTCTTCAACTCTATGAAATAGGTGTTATTATACTGACTTTAAAAATAAGCAGTCTCAAAGAGGCTAAGTAAATTGTCTAAGATCAAACATTGATTGGTCTGATTCTAAAAGCCCCTTAGAGTACTGGCTCGCTCTCTTTTCTTTTTTTTTTTTTTTTATGAGCAGAATATATTTATTGAGAGAAAGAAAGCTCCTGTCCAAGAGAGGGACAGGAGGGGGGCCTGAGTGGGTAGTTCCCTTCGCTCTCTTTTCAAATGCCTTCTACACAGCCTCATTTTTAGTAAGATCAAAAAATTATGGTGAAATACTATAAACTAGTAGAAGTTATCCCACAAATGCATGTTTCAAAGTTGAAAAATCTGATAGTGTCACTCCCACTTGTGCTTAAAAACTACTTAAAAAGAACCATATAGTAATTTTATTTTGTAAGAGCTTTTCAATTCCATCTATAGTATAAAGACTTTTTTAAAAATTAATTTTATTGACAAAGAAATAGCAATGAGACAGTTTCAAAACAGGTTAGCAGGACAGTTACAATAATTAATACATTGCATGTTCTTATAGTATAAAGATTTAATCCAAGGAATGAAAATAAAAGTCCTAGAAAGTGAGAAAAAGTGTTTTTGTTTTGTTTTGTTTACTAGGAGTAAGTAGAACTCAAAACCTTGCACTTTCTAGGCAGGCACTGGATACAGCTCCACTGAGCTATATCTTCAGCCCCAAGAAATGCTAAATTCTTTTTCTTTTTTGCAGAACCAGGGATTGAACTCAGGCTCTTACGCTTGCCATGGAAGCACTTATTCTACTGAGTTGTCTCCCCGGCCCACTAAATTCTTTATGGTAAAGTTTATGTTTGTAAGTGGTTTCTTGAATGTTACGCTGCCGTATAACATTAATCTCTCTTTTATGATTTATATATTGTTAAGGTTTAAATCTAAAATGTTTCCTCAATGTCTCACGTTTCCATTCCAATTTTAGTGTATGTGCTGCTGAAGTCAGCACTGTATCGTGTTTTCAGAGGTGGGCTTTTGGCAAGCGACTGGACAGGACTCTACACTGATGAGCTCACAACTGAATGAGCTGTTAAGGTGTAGGGCCCAGATGAAGGACGCAAGATCTCTCTTCTGCTCTTTGCTTCCTGGCTACCATGTGTTGAGCAGCTCTCCTTTGCCAATCAACCCTGAAGCTAGGATCCAAATAAACCTCTTGTCCTTTAAGTTGTGTCCAATATTTGGTTTTTTGTTTTTTTTTTTTAAATTTATTTGTGTGTGTGTGTGTGGCCAGCTCAGCCCACCAGGGGGCGGGGCTGGTTGGCATGTGATGCTGGGGGATTGAACCGCGGTCCCTGTGCTTTGCTAAGCTTGTTCTAGGTAGGTGCTTTAGACCACTGAGCCATCTCACCAGCCCGTGTCCAATATTTGATCCCAGCAATGAGAAAGCAACTAATATCTATGCAGTCTTATAATTGCCTGGATTTACATTTACCTAAGGAAAACTGAAGTTTTTTTGGAACTAAAAAATTTCTCACATATTTCAACATGCTTTTCTTCTATTAAAAATTACAGGGCTGGCTAGATAGCTCAGCGAACTAAAGTGCCTGCGTAGGCAGATGCAGGGATCGACTCAATCCCTGGTGCACTGTGCCAGTCCTGCCCCAGGGGCACACTCAGATGGTGATTAGACTGGGCGTGGTGGTACCCGCCTGTAATCCCAGTGCTTGGGAGGCTGAAAAATAGGAGAATCACTTGAGTCTGATCTGTGTAGCGAGATCCTGTACTAAATACATGAAAAATAAAAACAGTATATATATATAATGTATATTATTATACAGAGTAAAGACCTTGTCTCAACAACAAAAAAAGTCTGGGTCCCTGGGATGTGAGGCCAACTCTCCAAACTATTATTGAGGGGTATGTGGCTGAAGAGAAAACCTTATGTACATCTCAGTGTGAGAAGTTATTCATAACATCAATGACATTAATTTTTAAAGTTCACCATGTTTAATAAGGATGATAAATTTCTTTGTTTTGGGTGGGGTTTTGTCTTTTTGAGACAGAGTTTCACTATGCAGCGCAGGCTGGCCTCAAACTTGCAGCAATCCTTCTGCCTCCACTTCCTAAAGGCTGGGATTATAATGTCTGCTTCAAGAATAACAGTTTTTTTGGTCAGTATGACTTTTCAAGTCTCAAACCTTAAGTCACAAATAATAATCCAGTGACTTTTTTTTTTTCTGTCTCAGAATGCCTTCAGGGCAGATTTGGCTTGTGTGAGTTCTGGGGATCAAACCACAGACAGCATCCTGAGCCTGACTGCTTTGTTTAAGCAGGCACTTAAACAACTGAGCTAATGGGCAGGCCCCCTAGTGAATTGTACTCTTAAAAAAATCTAGGGACTTTGTCTAACATACTGTTTATACCTGATGAGACTAATTTAGAAAGCAATGCAGGGGGCCTGGCCCTAGCTCAGGCCTTTAAGTGGCTGCTTCCACAAAGCTGTCAGCCTCAGGTTGCTGGAGTTCGAACCTCACACCTCTCCCCCTGGCCAAAAGTGCCCTGAAGGCATTCGAGGAACAAAAAAAAAAAAAAAAGAAGAAAAAAAAAGAAAGCAATGCAAAAACCTGGTAAATAAAATAACAGAGACAGAAGAATAGCCTTAAAAATCCAATCTTCACAAGAATTTGAGCCGGGGAGATGGCTCAGTGGAATAAGTGTTTCCCTGGCAAGCGCAAGGGTCTGAGTTCAATCCCTGGTTCCGCAAAAAAAAAAAAAAAAAAAAAATTCTTCTACATTATGTGTCTGCTGGGAATAAAAATAATTAGAAATAACTTCAGAGTTAGCTCAGATAACATTTTTTTTTGCGATACCGGGGATTGAACTCAGGACCTTGCCTTGCCAGGCAAGCACTTATTCTACTGAGCTAGCTCCTTGGCCCTTCAGATAACGTTGTTTTTCTATGTCAAGAATCAACATCCAGTGGTTGCTTTGTTACTTTATATAACTTGATGAGAAAATCTAATTCCAAGAAATCCAAAGCCCACTGCAAACCATACAGAAGTGCTCAATCTAAGCATTGAAATAATTTGGGGATTGTTTTTAAAACGTTATAATCAATTTTACCAAGTTTTGATCTGAACTAATAGGCATGGGGATAGCTTAGTTACTGCTTTTATGGTCTCCAATCACTGTACAAATTGACTTTCCATATTCTGACACAGTATGAGTAAAATATACAAGCTTTTGAGACTGTAGCAAAAATTTCGAAACAGTGTCACACACAGAAAGCCATACAACGACACTGACTTTTGAAACGCTCAAGTCCCTGATATTGTACCTTAACCTCTTTGGAGCTACTGGAAGTTTTTCCTTCAGTCTTCTTCTGCTTTGATGTGGAGGAACTGTTTTTGCTGCTGCCACTATTTTCCTTGTTGCTATTACTGCTTGACTTTAGGGAAGACGATTGACTAATAGTCCTCTTCCGAGAGCCATGCTCTGTTTTTGGATCTTTTGAAGGTACAGGCGCAGCAGGTGAAGGTAACAATTCCTTTTCTTTTGCAGCACTCTGTTTAGATGACCTACCAAACAAAACAAATGCTGCTCTCATTTTTCTACACAGTAATATGGGGAAATGGATTTTCCCTCTTTATCTGTTTTCAAGAGAAACTTGCTAGGGCCAGGGATGTCACTCAGTGGCACAAGCGCCTGTCTGCAATTCTGAATACCAAAGAAACAACAAAAAATCTTGTTTCCTTTGCTTGATTACTAAGATAAACATTACAGTGTAAAGTGAAGTGAGACTGTAAATGCCATGAGGGCTGGGGGGCATCTTATCATTTTCCCCATGCCTTTTTGCTTTCATCCATTTTCTCCAGTTGTATACTGTTTTGGAAATATAACTGCCACACACCATTTGCCCTTAATACTGACTAAAAACACAGGAGTGATGAAAGAGATTGTTTGTAAGTAAACAAGTCCCCAGTAAATTATAGGTAAGTTTGCTATCTATCCAGAAATTAAAGATATCTTAACTGTTACCCACACCTACCCACCTCTACCATATTAAGGAAAGTAAGAAGGAAAAAGTAAATTTTAAATGCTTTCCATCGCTACTGGCCAAATGCAAAAGCTCATGTTATTTAGCACAGGCACACATGTGGGATCAGGGACATGCTAGAAAGTACCCAGTACCAAATGACACCCATGTGAGCAACACTGGCAGGCAACATGTTTTGGGGAGACATACTCTCGGTTGCTGGATGGCTTGTGGCCTGATGAGTTCTTGTCCTCTGTTTTGGGTTTTTTGCTCTCACTGGCACGATTATCATCTTCATTCTGGATGAAAAATGGAAAACAGCTACTTCACCTAACTTCATCTTTGACCAATAGAAATACCCAGTTTATGCCTGATAAAACCTCAGAAACAATAAGAGCTAATTTACACAATGAATAGTAAGATCTTGGTTTCTGAGACAAGGTCCTGCTATGCAGTTCAGGCTGACCTTGAACTTGCAGTGACCCTCCTGGCTCAGCCACTGAAGTGCTGGGATTACATGTATGCAACACCACACCTGACCAAAATACTTTAAGGCTGAAAAAGGTCCCCTATGTTAGATATATAGAATTTCCAAATATTGAAACAGATTTCCTATACTTTTTAAAAAAATGATTGTATGTTTAAGATCATTCCCACAACAAAATTATTTTTCCTATAGTTTTAGATGGCGTTTTTTCTTAAATAATGACTTCGGAGATGGCACTCCATAAACTTGTAAGTAATACACAACTCATATCATGAAAGTCAAACTTTGAAAGCATATGATTCTGCCAGGTCTGGTGGCGCACACCTATAATCCCAGCGTACAGGAGGTTGAGGCAAGAGGATCGCTGTTGAGTTAGAAGCCAACCTGGGCTTCATAAGCAAGTTCAAGCCCAGCTTGCGCATAAGACCCTGTCTTAAAGAAAACAAAAAAAAGGGCCAGCGAGACAGCTCAGCAGCACAGCACCTGTCTGGAAAGCTCAAGGTCCTAAGTTAGATTTCCAGTACCCGCCCCCCCCCAAAAAAAAAAGTGCACAATTTTATGGTATTTGGTATACTCCCGGTTGTAGAATGATCCCCACAACCAATTTCAGCACATTTTCATCATCCCCAAAAATATTCTAGGTTTATATTGTGGTTCATGCTTACGTATCTGCCCAGGAGTCTCACTGCTCATAGCTGAGGATGTTGGAAAGTGACTGGACTACTGGGGCATCAGAGCTGACTTACTGTGAGAAGGCAGGGTCCAGCAGAGGAGGTAGGACACTGGAGTGTGACCTGTAGGGGATATCTCCTTTTCCATCTCTTTCCTGCACTGTTTCTTGGCTGCTATGAGGTGAACTGCTATTTGTCTATATGGCCCACTGTCACGCCATTTTGACTTGGAGGCAGTAAACTAAAAATGCAAGGCACAATAAACCTCCGTTCCTTTAAATTCTAAGTGTTGGTGACTAAAGCCTAAGGTAACTCTATTTAACTTTTTTTTTTTTTTTTTCCCAGAACTGGGGAATGAACTCAGGCCCTTAGCACTTGCCAGGGAAGCACTTATCCTACTGAATCATCTCCCCGGCCCCTCTATTTAACTTTTTGAAGAACTACTGGACTATATTCTAAAGCAGCTACACTACACTAGCTCACATTCCTACCAGCACTGTACTTAAGTCCCTACCCTTCTAGATTATTATTAGCATTTATTGTAGTCTAAGTTTTTCAGTATAGCCAGCCCAGAAAGTTTTAAAAATTTGACTGGCTAAAAACGTAAGTGGTAGACCTATCTACTTATTGATAAAACTTTTATAAGTACATCTAAGTTTTCCTGTTGCTTCAAACACCAGGGCACAATAACGCAAATAGTCTCTCATTAAAGAGTCTGTTTCCTTTTATAAATGATTAAAGATACACAAATGAAGAAATGGAAAAACTCTATCTAAAATCTTTCCTGCTTTCAGGGCCGGCCAGATAGCTCAGCAGACTAAAGGGCCTGTTTAGGCATAATGCAGCGGGCACGGGACTGACCCTGGGCCTGTCATGCCGGCCCTGCCCCTGGGGCCTGCTGAGACAGTGATTGAGACTGGGCGTGATGGTAGGCCTGTAATCCCAGCACTTGGGAGGCTAAAAACAGGAGAATCACTATGAGTCTGATCTACATAGTGAGACCCTGTAGACCATGTACTAAATATATTAAAATAAAACCTTTACTGCTTTGGACTGTGTCTCCCCTCTTAGTTCTACTTGCTTTATTCTAGGAACTGCCCCTGACACTTTATTAAAACCATGTGCTTCAAAAATCATAATCAAGCTTAATGGTTTTTTTTTTTTTTT